TAGTCTTGAAGCCGAAGGGAGTCACTGTAAATCAGGTCCCCCTCTCCTAGTAACTGAAGACTCGGGCCTCCCCACGCCATCACCTATCAGCAGGCTGGCCCTTGTCACTCTGGGACTTTAAATGACTGAACATTTCTATAGCACCTTTATATGTGCTCAGGGCCAGACGGCCACTTGGACGGCCCCGCCCCTCAGCATAATAATCCCTTGCATTGTATGAAACGGGGAGGGGGGTGGGGGTGGAGGAGAACAGGAGACAGGGGATTGCTGAGGAACCAGCCTGGCTGAATTCTGAAAGGGCTTAGCCTGGCCCAAGCCTCCACCCCGTATTCAGTGACCCCCACCAGAGATTTTTTTGGGGGGAGGGGGTACTTCTGCCACCCCACCACCTTATTCCCTCCCAGACCCTTTATAAAGCACGGAGTTGCGACAGTTCTCGGGAGTTCGCTTTTCATTTTTTTTCTCCCGGGGCCTGATTCCCAGCTTGATTTCTGCTTCTATGAACCAAAAAGGCCCAGCCCATCACCTCTTGGGATGCAGGATCCCCCCCCCCCAGCCACTTCTACCCACTGATGTGCCCACCCCCACCCCCTGCCTTCCTGCCATTCCCCAGGAAGCCAGCCACACAGCCCCTGAGTCCCTGGGAACAAAGACAAAAGAACCAGCAGCAAAGCCGGAACTTCGTGGAAATAAGAGGGGTATGCTTAAAATTCTCAAAAGCAACCTGCTCAAAGAGGATGCTGCCGGTGGGGGGAGGGGGCTCGGCCTTCAGAGTCGGGAGGAGGGGGTGAAAGACTGTGAGTGGGGAGGCAGGAGCCTTCATGGCTCAGATCCGTCTCGGCCGGGTGTGAGATCTCCCTCCCCACCACTGGGACTTCAACATTCTCCACACAGAGTCCCTAGTCCCTGCCCCAACTCAAAAGCGTCTCCCACCGGCCCAGAAGCCCCCCCAATCTTTGCCCCTCTTCTAGAGGCCCTTGCAAAACCAGGCTCCCGCCCAAATGACTCCTCTGAGAGCCCTGCCGGCCCGCTGACCACCGTTTTCAAGTGTACCTACTCAGCTTCCAGTTCCCACTCCCACCCCACCCCCTACCTTGGTTAATCCCCCCCTCCCTCTTCCAGACAGGAACACAAGAGAAAAATGTGCAAGGCATCTGGACCTTGCTTGGGAAAAGGCTGAGGCAGCAGCTGGGAAGAGTCAGTGGAAGGGAGACCCATACATAACCAGGCAGAAAATCCAGAGTGACATTCTTCCCACGAACTCACCTCATTGTCCCCTAGCTCCCCTGACAACCCCCGTCACCCCACCTCCCCCACCCCACCCCTACCCCCACCCCCGCCGCCGCCTGTAAGGAAAAGTGACCCAGGGAACCGGCCACATCTGTTGCCTGTACATGACTCCAATCTATTTCAGAGTCTTGGGAAGCAGGAAGGCTGGATTTCAGGGTTAGAATGAATGCCATGGGGGGCGGGGGGGGGGAGGAAGGGGGTGAGGAGGAGGCACTAAAACCATGAGAGGGCAGTACGCCAGGATTTGATGACATGGTCAAAATTTGAAGGATTCTTCAAGGCCTGTTGAGGAAGATGATTCTGGGGCCCCAGAGGTGATGGGGGAGCAGGGAGGGCGTGGAGAGAGGACTTCTGTTTCTTTTTATTATTATTTAGAAGTAAGAGGCAAGGAGCAATTCCAAGGCAGGCTGAGAGAGAAGAAAGCAAGCCTGGGACTCCAATCAAAGAAAGCCCCACCTTGCTCTGCACTCAAGGTCAACAATGTCTCCAAGAATGAGAAGGCTTCAACGGACCTCTAACTCTGTTGGGGCTGGGCGATAGCAGACCCAGGGAAAGTGTGGGGTGCACAAAGAAATCGAAAAGCAGCAAGAGAATTTGTACTCTTTTCCTTCCTTCCTTCCTTTCTTCCTTCCTTCCTTCCTTCCTTCCTTCCTTCCTTCCTTTCTTCTCTCTCCCTCCCTCCTTCCTTCCTTCCTTCGTTTCTTTCTTTCTTTTAAACCAACACCTCTGAGAAACTTGGTCAAAGTCTCCTTTTAAATAGTAGCGAATAGTGGGCACAATTCAGCACTGTCCCCAAGACGAAATAAAACAATTACAGCCTTCTCCAGACCGAAGGGGCAGGAGGCTTTTCGTAATGAAGAAGGGGGGAGGGGGGGAGTGAATTGTGTTCCTCAAGTTAACTTTTTTTTTTTTTTTTTGAAAGAAGGGCTCCTTAACAAAGAACCGCACCTCCCCCATTCTGGGGGATAGGAAGAGTTCCCTAGATTTAGGAGGAGGTAGGGTGTGAAACACACCCACGTTAAGGGTTCTTGCTTCCCAGCTCTCAAGCAGCTCCAGCCTTCAGACCTGAGGCCCAGATGCTCAGGCGCACAGCTTGGCTGCCAGGGTGCCGGAATGCAGCTGGCGATCGGGCCAAAGTTAACACAGATGGAGCCCCCTCCATTCTCCACGGGCTACCTTACCCTATAAAAAAACACCAGGTCTTTTCTTCTCGCCCCCCAATGCCAGAAGGAAGGGTCCCTCCATGTCTGCGGTGTTACCTGCGCCCGGTGGCCTCGGCCTACCAGCAACTTCCCCACCGGGGAGCATTCGACCGGTGGTCACCGACTCAACCTGTGTCCTAAGTAAGTTTCAAGTTCCTACAGCCCCAGCTCCAGGCCCACCCCGCCGCCCCTAGATCTGACCAATACTCTCCTCTCCACTAAGTCCCGCCAGAGTAGAAGTGAGGGTCACTTTCACCCAGGGAAGGCCGTGGTGACACGGTGTCTCCTTCTCCCTCCTCGTCTACCCCACCTCGTTAATCCCGCCTGCTCAACCTCGAGCCTCCCTCCCGGGAATCTATCTTTCGAGTTCCCGCTCTCCTGAGTCTCCCTGGATCAGATCGAGGACTGGGCTGTTTCTCGTCTACAACAGTCCCAGGGTCCAGACAGACTCTCCTTCCCCCACGTGAGGGCTGCCAGTCAGGAGACCCCGCTGAGCTGAGAGATTTTTTTCCCCCCAAACTAGTGCTCACTGTCCGCATTACCTGCAACCTGCTGTGGGGTGGCGCCCACGCGACTCTTTGCACAGGTACCCGCGCCGGAGACCAGCGCTTTCAGGGGCAGCTCGGAGCCGGGATTGGGGTAGCAGCGCAGCATCTGGGCGCAGCGCGGGGTGTAGACGCCGCACGCCTCGCCCTCCAGCCGGGCGCACACCGAGCAGCAGCCGCAGCCGGGCTCCCGCACCAGCTCGGCGCAGGGCCCGTCGGGCGGGGGTCCGCAGGCGGCCAGACGCTCGGGCGTGCAGGGCGGGCAGCGGAACAGCACCTCGGCGCGCACTCCGGGGCCGCAGCCGCCCGCGCCCAGCAGCAGCAGCAGCAGCAGCGACGGCAGGAGCAGCGACAGCGCGGGGCCGCCCAGTCTCGGCAGCATGGTGGCTTGTGGGCTGCGTTAGAGCGGCGGGCGAGCGGGCAGGTGGCACGGTCCTGGCGAGCGCGGGAGACGCCTCCTTGCCTTCTTTCTCTCCTCCCCCGCCTGTGCCGGGTCCTAAAAAGCCTGCTTCTCCCCGCCCCCCCCCCCCCCTTCCCCCCCCCCCCCTTTGGAGACCACCCCCCTCTCCCCCCCCCCCAAAGCACTCCTGTGTGCGGGCACGTGCTTGCGCACACGCCCACTCGCCCACCCTACGTTACTAGGGCATTAAACTGGTCCCCCCACTCCTCGGTGACCACGGCTTTGCGCCCTTCAGCCTTGGCTCGCCCGCTCCGAGAGAGTAAGAATAACTTGGCAAGCGTGGGTAGAAGCGGCGTGGAGTGGGAAAGAGCCGGTGCTTTTGTCTCCTTTCTTTTAGTTTAGTTCGGTTTGGAAGGACTTAGTTTGCGCACTTCCCACGTGGCCGGCTCGGAACTGACTGCTGGGGAAGCACAAAGGCCGTCTTGACCTTAAAGACGTCGGCGCTCACACCGACTCCCTACAGCCCTCGTGTTGCTAGGAACAATGACCTTGAGTGAGTCCCCCAGGAAGTTCAGTCTTTCTAGACCAGGCTGGTCCCAAACCGCACCTCCTAGCAACAACTTCGGTTGCCCAAACCGGAGCTCACGGCTACAACAGATGAAAACCCGCCGTATTTCCTGGTACCTCGCAAATCTCCTCCCTTCCCATCCCTCACCCCCAAGCCCTCTAACCTCTGAGAGATCCAGGCCACCATCTACAAACCCTGCTGTATTTGCCCACCCCACCCACTACACACACTATCTCCCCACCCCCACCCCCGCCCCAAGAAGACACACCCACTGAAGGGGTCTTGAAAAGGTCAGTTTAGACCACCACCACCCCTCCGGGTGTGAGCGAAAGCCCTAGCGCTGGGCTGAGGCGCTCACTCAGGTCATACGGATAACCAAGTGTGGCTACCTCCATTGTTCCGACTGACAGAGTCACCCAGCTGCCCCCAACCTCCATTACTCCAGCCTGGACAGGACCTTAATTATTCATTCATCTCCCCGGCCTGTGACCTTAACAAAGACCTTCGCTGGGTGAGGTGTCTCCCTTCCCCCACAAGACTTCTCCAAGCCATCCTTTCTAACTCCAGGGCTCCCAGCCTATCTCGTTCCATTCAGCAACTATTTGCTCATGTGTCTGCCGGGCCCCCAAAGGTGAATTTCATGCCTCCTGGAAGGCAAATGTCTAATCTTGAGAAATGAGGAAAGAAAGAGTTGTAGGGGAGAGTCTGGGCGATTTAAGTATCTGGCCATCGTCGGGACCCTTGTGGAAGAGGACCAATCAGATGGAAGATAAGGGGGATGGGTGTAAAATTAAAGCTTGGAGATGCCACAGAGGGAAATGGTGGCTTGGCAATGGGGTGCTCTCAACACAACGACCAGCCGAAATGAGGACGCAGAAAAGGAAGAGTGAGACTAGAAAGTCACTTTGGCCAGAGACCAAAACCCCTGGGGAGATGGGGAACTGGCCCGCAAGCCAGTGAATTGTGCTGAGATTTGGCTTACGTTGGGACGTCACAGGGGCACAGCATCAGTGTTTGAGCAGAGGGATAGTCCTCTCACAGTAACCTGGATCTATACAGAATGAAGACCTCCCAGTAGGAAATGGACAAAAGCTGGTGCAGGTGCCTGCGCATCGTCTCCAGGGGTCCTGGTGTCTTGGGCCTGCCTTGGAATATGTTCCTATCCGCCTCACCCACTGAGTATCCCCTTAGAGCAGAAATGGTGCCGTAGACACATCCAGCGCAGACTGCAGGGGGAGGCACGTTACACCTAACTTTCCTAGTAGCCGCATCAAATAGAGTCAAGGTGTGGTGGCGCACGCCTTTAATCCCAGCGCTTGGAAGGCAGAGTCAGGCGGATCCCTGAGTTTGAGCCAGCCCAGCCTACAGAGCAAGCTCCAGAACAGAGCTAACACAGACAAATCCTATCTCAGAAGTGGGGAAGGGGTTAAAAAAAATAAAGCACCATCGGTTTTAATAATATACTTGAATTCTGTTTACTCCAAATAGTACCATTTAATCAGTAATGAATATAAAAAAAGTATAAAGGCAAGATGATCCAAGCACATCTGGAGACAACCTTGAACTCACAATCCTCCTGCCTGGGTCTCCAGACATCACAGGCATGAGCCACTGTGAATTTCCAGAATTTCTCTTTCTGGTGAGTCTCATCACTGCTGATTCCTTCCCCTGATTCCCATATTAATAGCTTTACCCTGCACAACCCCAAATACTCACACCCCAAGAGTAACTCATCTCGGTCCCTTCCTGATCCCCATAACCTTCGGGTTCTGCTCCAGAGCCGTCTGCCAACACTGGCTTCTGATACAGCTTCTATAAAATACAAGGGGGATTCGGGAAGCAGAACTAGCAGAGTTGTTTTTTAAGAGGAGTCAGCAGGCATTGTGGAAGCAGGACATGGGGGATTCTGGTGAACCCGTGCAACTTCAGGACCTGGGAGGCTGCGGCAGGAAGATCGCAAGTTCAAGGTCAGCCAGCACAGCCTAACAAGATCCTGGG